AAAACGAACAGTCATACATGTAAGCATGTTGTGTTTTCTCATCATATAGAAATGCGTTATGCGAAATCGTACAAATAGTTTTTTTCGGCGAGTGTACAGTTAGGAGCTTCATCGTAAAGTGCCACTCTTTTGCTAAAAATATTATTAAATAATACACTAAATAACTCATTTGTCTTCCCAGTAAACATTTCCATTGTGTTGAAATGGTGTCAACAGCATACCAAAGACTACAAGAATGTTATCATTAATGACATGTCTACGTCCTGGAAGGATGGTCTTGCTTTGTGTGGAATCATACATCGTTTCCGTCCAGATCTAATGTGAGTCAAGCTACTGTAGTTGAGCTATTACATTATAACTTCACAATATGAAAAACACATATTCGCCCGAGAACGCAGAAACACGGGCGAAAATCAACAACACTGCTCATTGTGTACTTTCGTCAATCCCATGGTGCATTTCGACAACGTCACGTGGGAAAGGATCATTACGTAGCTCACGAGGTTTACATATTTCATCAATTTATCAAATGTTTTTTTTTACAGAGATTTTGATTCGCTTAATCCAAGTGAAGCTGAAAAGAACAATCAACTGGTAAGTCATGATTTTAGCTATCAGACTCGTTGTCAGTCGTTGCTCTTTTTTAGTTAGCAACGCTCTAAGAGTGTGACGGGATGGCGAGAGAGATTGTTTTTCCTTAGCCATTCCCTTTATGCATTGCGCGCATGACTACGTATAGGGGTAACGTATTTCAAGCAGCCGTAATTTTTTTTTTGTTTCTCATGTTACTCTCTTTTTTGTATCTGACATGGTTTATTGTTTCCATGGTGTTTTAGGCTTTCCAAGTAGCAGAGGAGCATCTAGGTATTCAACCCCAGGTCTCYGCCAAAGAAATAGCGTGTGCAAGTGTACCTGATCAGCTGACTATTCTGAGCTACGTCACACAGTACTATGAAACGTTTAAGAACGAAGCCCCTGGTATGTCTATTACTACAATTTTATCATATCTTCGCCACAGGGCGCCTAGACTCAACATTTGTGTTGCTTTCACAGCGATGGCAATGTAGTGTGTGGTGCGCGGTTCTAGCCCTCTGAAGCCGTCATTTTTTATTTTTTTCTACTTCATTTCTTTAGACTTTTCAAGACTTTCTCTTGTTTCTTTTTTCTTATTTCTTTACCCCATAAACATTTTTATGAATAAAGATTGATTTTTAAAGCCATTTTTATACGCCCCCCCCCCCCTTCGTAAATAAACAGGAGACAAATATAAAAATGGCTTTAAAAATCAATCTTTATTCACAAAAATGTTCATACTTATTAAAGAAAAAAAGAAAAAATAGAGAAAGTTTTGAAAAGTCTAAAGAAATGAAGCTGAAAAAAATTACGGCTTCAGGAGGGCTCGAACCGCGAACCAAGCAATACATTGACACCGCCGTGAAAGCAACACAACTGTTGAGCCTGGGCACCCTTTGTATTCACTTATTAATCCTAAATAGGTACCAATTAATTCTTAATTGGACAGTTAGGAATAACATGTGAATATATAATTCATAGGTAATAAGACTCCATATTGTCCAATTCGTTTTTGACCTTTTTGCCATTAAAACCAAAGAGGGTGACATGTTTGAAGAGAAGTAGTTGTTTGCCATGCCTTGTGTGATAATAATAATTTTGGTGAAATACTTCTTAAGGCATAAGATAACTTTATTCCAAACTTTTCGCCTTTACAGGCTTCATCAGTGAATACAACTAGAATGGCGTGACATTTCTGCTGCTCCCTCAATTAAACAAGAGTAATATTAAAATCATGACTTTTTTTCACCATCAAAAATAATTTTCCTGACATTGCAAAAGTATAAACAAACTCAAAATTAACAACTGTTTGGGTTTTGCCTGATTTTTCCTCGCTTTGGTTCCAAATTACAGACTGTTGTCGAAACGGAGTTGCGAGATTTAATCTGTTCATATTTCTTGTTATAAACAAGCTCTCGAGAACTTTGTAAGGAGAGATATTTGGTGGTTGTTCAACGTAAAAGCTGGGTTTTGTTTTACACAAAGTATTCGCTGTTAATTTAAAAGAAAGTTTAATTCAAAYTTGTACAGAATAAATGAGTTCAAAAGAATGAATTTGGCTCGTTGAACATTAGGAACCTTGATTTGGTACGATGAA